AGGTTCGAAGAGCAGTCGAAAACGTCGGGTGTCTGCAAACCGGAAGCCGGTTTGTGCCACGGCGGATTTTCTAGGATGTACACGAAGATTACCGAGCTTCTGGAGACGAGGAGGAATCCGTTGCTGTTGAATTGCGGCGACAACTTCCAAGGCACTCTCTGGTACAATATGTTCAAGTGGAGGACAGTCCAGAAGTTCATGAACCTACTCCCGTTTACCGCATATGTAAAACTTACACACTCACCTTCATGGATGTTACCAAAAGATTTTTGGAATGTTTTCAGACGCTGGGCAATCACGAATTCGACGATGGAATAGCCGGTGTGGTTCCTTTCATCAAAACCATGAAGGCTCCACTGGTCGTATCCAACTTGGACGACTCTCAAGTACCGGAACTGCAGAACCTATACAACAAAAGCATCGTTGTTGAAGTCGAAGGAAAAAGGATCGGTATTGTCGGAGTGATTCTATCAACTACGAATGTAAAGTTTTCAAAAGAAAACCCTAATCCTTGTAAATGTAAAACGATAATTATAATCTTTCCAGCAAATATCAAATACCGAAAATTTGAAATTCCTAGATGAGGTTGAGTCAGTTAATAACGAAGCTTTGCGGTTGCTGCACGAAGAACAAGTTTTCACCGTCATCGTTATTTCGCATTGCGGTTACGATAAGGAGATGGAAATCGCGAAGAAAGCAGTCAAAGGAATCGGACTGATCGTCGGTGCTCACAGTCACACCTTACTCTACACCGGTTTGTTATAATATTTCAGAAGAAGAAAACAAATAGTTTAACTAATTGTTATAACTTCCAGGAACTCCTCCTGATGGTTCAAAAGCTTTAGGACCTTACCCGACTGTTATCAAAAGGGAAATCGACGATGGAAATGTCTTGGTGGTGCAGGCTTCCTCCTACACCAAATACTTAGGAGATCTTGTAGTCAAGTACGATGATCTGGGAGAAGTCGAATCGTTCGAAGGGAATCCAATTTACTTGGATCACACTATTCCTGAAGGTACACAATTTTTGTCACTTATTGGAAGTATGAAAATATCCATTCATATCTCCATTTTTCAGATGAAACGGTTAATAAGAAGATGCAACCTTACAAGGATGCCGTTGTTGCCAAAGGCAACCAGGTTTTGGGCGAGACCAAAGTCTTTTTGGACCAATCCGATTGCAGATACAGTGAATGCAACATCGGCAATTTCATAACCGATGCCATGGTATATTACGTAAGTATCACTCGTCGATCTTCGTTCCTTTAGTCTAATGGTTCGTATTTCTAGTACAAGGACAAGTCGGAAACTGGTGGATCTTCTTCGAAATTGGCCATCTTCAACGTGGGCGGAATACGCACCTCGATTCCAATTGGAAGTGAGTTTTTCGTTTAGAACTGATGAAGTTCGATAATTTGAGTTATTTTAGATATTACCTATAACGATATGGCGAACTGTCAGCCTTTCGAGAATACCATAGATGTGAGCGTCATCAGCGGCCACTTCATAAAAGCCTTCTTCGAGCAAACAGCCATTCCTTACTACTTCAAGGAATCCAGCAGAAACGTCAATCTCTTGCAAAATTCTGGTTTTACCATGACTTCTTCAATTCGTCGTAAATCATTACTGATTTCCTTTCAATTGTAGGTTTCAAAATTGTCTACAACTTGAACAATCCGATAGGAAGCCGCGTCAAGTCCATCAAAGTCTTGTGCAACGATTGCCCGGAACCGGAATACCATGATCTTGATCCGAGCAAAGATTACAAATTGATCACTGCAAGTTTCATCACTAAAGGCGGGGACGGCTTCAAAGTGATCTCGGAAAACCTGAGGAACGTGCAGGTGGGACCGGTGGACATGGACGTTTACACCCACTACCTGAAGAACGAATCGCCCGTGACCACAAGGAAGGAGGGTAGGATGGTGTTCGAGGGTCGTTTCCAGAAACCCATTCTCTACCGCAACATAAATTACTTTATTTAATCATCTTCTTCATAGTACTCTCAATCCAAGCCTTGTAATGCGACACCTTCACGTAAACGCCGGGCTTATTGGCGTGACCGCAGTGCTGTCCCCAGGAGGTGATGCCGTACAAGGTGTACACGCCGTCCTTCAGACATGCCAGAGGTCCGCCGCTATCGCCGTCGCAAGCGTCCACACCCTCATCCAAACTGCCCGCGCAGAACATCCCCTGCGTTATTGCTGACCCGTAGATGTGGGCCATATTGCATACGTCCATCGGTAGGATCGGTAACCAACCTGCCCTAAGGTCGTGCGAGGCTTCTGGCAAACAAAATAAACTATTATTTACATCTTGCAAACTATTTCGAATTCATTATTTTTTTTTTAACATTAATAACCTAAACTAAACTAAAGTACTTACTGGATTTTCCAGTTTCTATCGATCCGAAGCCCGAAATCGTGCAGTTTCTCCTATCGTATTCCAAATCGGAGTCGGGCAGGCAAATGGCCTGCACGTCCTTGTTCAATTTGAAGCCACGACCCTTCAGCTTTATCAACGCGATATCGTTATTCATTTTATTCACCTTCTTAAAGTCCTCATGCAGAATGAAATCTATAAAGGGCGATGAAATGAAGAAGAGTGGAATTTCATATAAAAATCAATAATTAATACCTTCGATATACGCCTCCTGTTCAGTGCCTTCGTTCCTATTCACATTATAATCGCCTGCCACTACAAAGTAAGCCCCTTTCGTAAATCCCTCCAGACAATGGGCGGCAGTCAGCACAAATGATGAGGAGATCACGATAGCTCCGCACCAATGGGTCGGCTTCAATTTACCTTTCACTCTAATACTCGCCTAGAAATCATACAATTAATTTAAAGTTGTAGTTACGAAATTAATATTATCGAATTACCTGCCAAGGATATTCTCCGGGTCGAGCTAAGCTTCCCCTTACTACCCTAAAATGAACATCGGAGAACTCATCCTGAAATATAGCGTCCGATCTTAATCCGCACTTTTCTGGTAAATCGCTTGTAGCCATTTCGCTGGGCTGCAAGTTGGAATGCCTAGCAGTACCTGGAACTACCAATAAATAAGTATACGTCTGTAGGAAGATTTCAGTGATATTAACCTGGCGAATTTTCGTTAGTGCAGATCACGCCAACATCCTCAGAGTGTTCGCAGTTGTGCTCTCCCCAGTCCCAATGACTGCATTCGGAGAGCTGCGTTTCGTTGCCCTTGCAGAAGACCTGATCTAACCATATAGGTCCTGATCCCATCCCAAAGTAAGCGTCTTTCACCACAAAAGCCGACCCCCTGTAGCCCAGCTCCCTGCAAACAATCTTCGCAGCATCGTCATTGAAATCATCGTCGCAGATGGTTCCCCACGTCCCATGGTACTTGATCTCCACCCTTCCTTCATTTCTGCTGGTACCATTCACCAAACGCAACGTCACCGGAGCCTTGAATTAAATAACAATTTCATAACGTAAAGACTACTACTCCCAGTGAAATACATACATCGCAAAGAGAATCATCTTCGTCGGAATAATCGGAGCAATCGTAAACACCATCGCATATGAATTTCAACGAAACGCACTCTTTGCCGCCTTTGCATTGCCAGTGACCTTTAGGGCACACCTCCAACGGGGTTTTACACACGATCCCAACAGCCTGAAAATTATAAAAGCTCAGTTGCCATCACGTAATCGCGTTCGTTTTACCGTACTTCCGAAGGGCCGCAATTGTGTACACCCCAGCCGGCGAAATCGCAGTCCCTGAGGGACGTCTCGTTTCCCAAGCAGCTCACGTCGTCCATCATGTAGAAGGAGGTGTTCGCCTTCGGCGCCAGCATCGAGTTGCCCTTAACCTCGAGCGCTCCCAGAGGAAATCCGAGCTCTCTGCACGCGACATCGGCGTTGCGCAATCCGAACATATCATCGCAAACGTATCCGCGCTTCCCGAACGCTAAAACAATAACAACAACAATAAAAAAAACGTCACATTATCATCTGTTATCTGGAGTAAAGCGTACTGATAAACAGTTCCATTGATTAAAAAATAGATTCACTATCAGTGATTTAAATTGTGTAGACATCGATAATCAAATAAGTTAAACTCCATTGATTTACCTTCAACTTCTAAAAGCCCGGCGTTCTTCTCTTGGAAACCTACGATGTTCAGGTTGTAGCCAAACGCTTCAGCCTTGCAGTTCTTCTCGTCGGCGCCGTCTCCGCAATCGTTGTGACCATCGCAGAGTTGCGCAGTGCTCAAGCACTTCTTGTTTCTGCACTCGTAGCCTCCATTACAATTGATGGAATATTTCTTGGCTTCGTAGTAGTCGTGGTTTGGTAGCAATATCAGAGCTCCCGATTGACCGACGTTACTGTTCAAGATGAAGCAGGAACCATCCAAAGTCCTGGCAACAACAACAATTAATAATAAAACAGAAATTAAATCTTCAATTGAAAAAATCACCTGTAATTGAATGCCTTGCAATTGCTCTTCAGCGCGCAGATCTTGGAGCACCATTTGAGCGTGATGTTCGTGTGCTTCTCCGTTTCCCTTACAGCCAATTTGGTGCCACCGGTGAGCTGGAATTGCTGCAAGTACGAGCCGCAGTCCACCTCGTCCCAACCATTCAAGCATTGCTTAAAAACCAAATTTTAAACTATTAATTTACATATAAATATTCAATAATAATTAAATGAAATAATTACCTAAGCAGATAAACGACAATGAAGAAATTATTATTAACTGATGTCTAAACAAATTTTGTTTTTCACCGCATCCTACTCTTTCCGATAATCTCTTTTGTTTTCGCATTAAACAAGCTTAGTAAAACGTATACAACCCAACTTGCATAATTATGTTCAATTTGCTCAAGTAATTGTTATTGATGATTTCAATGTAATCAATAATGATTTGCATTACAAAAATTGAATGCAAATCATTATTTTAATTGGTTTCCAGTTGATGATTGATTAGCTCACCTTTTTTCCGTCGCACACTTGATGAGGCGGAATGCAAAGTTTGTTCCCGCATTCGAATCCTTTGTTGTCGTTGCACCAGTTCTGCACGTCTCTGGATTTGTCAACCGTCGTATCCAGATCCTCGTACTCGAAGACGTAATCGGCGTTCGGGTCGGTGGATGGAAACGGTGGAGGCCAATGCTTCGTCTTCGGCGTCGTCGCTTCCAAAGTCCTTCTTTCCGTATAGGGAATCCAAGCGCTCCGCGGTGTCGTCGATTTAGGTGGAACGTAGACCGGTGCTGGTCTGTAGGTTGGTCTGGCTGTGGTTGTCACCTCGTAGTGTTCGCTGTGAGGAAAATATCCGTTCCGATTTTGATTGTCTTCGGATCCGTAACGTCTGCTGAAGTTCATCCTGCCGCCGTTCTGTCCGATTGAATACGTGTAATTATACATCGGTTTCCATGCGTTTCCGTAGGTCCTGTTGCTTCTGATTATCGTTCCCGTCATTTGGTTTTGGTGCTGATGCTGGTTTTGATTTTGATGTTGATATCCAGTATTCTCGTGGAATCCCGCGCTATGATCGTGGTGCCTGTGCTGATCGTAGTCATGGTGATTGTGTCCGTAATACTGGTTCCAATCATATCCAGAATGTTGATTGTTACCATGGTTTCTACCACCGTTTTGATTATTACCATTGTATTGATTTTGATAGTTACCATGGTTTTGATTGCTACCTTGGTTATAATCATTTCCATGATGTTGGTGATGTCCGTGGTGCTGATGTTGATGGTTGTGTTGGTGATTATCTTCCTGGCTGTTTCCGGATTCGCATCGTACTTTATAAGGGAAATCGCAGATTTTGGAGTTGGGATTGAAGAGTGTACCAGGCGCGCAATCTTGGACGTAAGTTATACCGTTGGCGCAGTTCAAGAACTTCGCGCAGTCTGCTGGATGCTTCTCCAAACCGCTGTAACCTGGTGAACACTTGGGGCTGGTTCCGTGATGATGCTGTTGTTGCAAGACGTTGGAGGATGAAGACGAACCGTACTTGGTCATATTCTGCCCGGTGCCGTCGCTCTTCGCCTTTGTATTGCAATCAGTGCACTCCTTCAGATTCTGCCCATTGAAGCAGTCCACCTTCTGCGGATAATCGCACATATTCGTCTTGATATCGAAGAAGGTACCAGGAGGACAATCCATCTCATGAGCAATGCCGTTACCGCATTTCACGAACTTTGCGCAATCTCCGTAATGCGGTATAATCCCCGAAAAACCTCTCGGACATTTCGCCTCGGTCGTCGCAGATTTCTCCTCATCGATGAACCTGAGATTATGGTTCTTCGGACCAGTAATGCACTTGACTTTGTCAGCGTGATCGCATTCCAACGAGTTAGGATTGAAGAGCGTCCCGGCCGGACAGTTCTCCACCAGACCTCTTCCCGTCCAGCAGTTCAAGAACTGATTGCAAGCGAATTCGTAGATGAACTGTCCGCTCTCACCTTCCGGACACTTCGAGTAAACCCTGTAGAAATCGTGCTGGATCTGATTTGTGTGAGGATTTCCGTAATAGTTCTGCGGTTTCGGCCGCTTCTCCACTTTGATCTTCGTGATGTAATGCCCTTTCACCTCCTCCAAACGTTTACCACCTCTGCGGATGCTCTCCACGTTGTTAGCGTTTTCGAACTGCTGCTTCCGCACGCTGCTGTAGTTCTGATGTATAATTGGAGAAGTCTTGACCACGTAAGCCGACTTTCCAGATCCTTCGTTTGGCACGTAAACCTGAGAATCAACAAATTATACCTTCATGCAAACAAACACTATTAACTTACGCATGAGATCTGGATGGTTGTCAACGTTAAAACGAAGAGAATCGACAAGATCATTTTGATCATGATCATCGACAACTTCTAATGAGTGTTTCGCATTGCTTCCTCTTCGTGCATAAATCTCTATCTGCTGGTGTAACTGAAAAGACACAATTATAAGTGGTAATCTTATCTGTTTCGAGGAAAGAACGGGTCGAAAGGTCCCGTCCTACTAATCATCGTAAACACTTGCATCTTCTATAAATGTAAACACTAACAATTCGCATATTTCAAAACGCAATTATTATCTAGAAAAACAATTTTTCAAGAAATATTTCAACAAATACAAGAATTATTACTTATTTGCGTTTAAGTAAAATTATCAATTACTAAATGAAATGTTTGTTATATTTTGTTTATTTGTATTGTTTTTCTTTATTTGAAATTCCATATGCATAACCTTACTTTACCTAACCTAATCAATCGTATAATATCATATTTTAATTTGTTGAGCTTAATCTAACCTAACTAATCAAAAACAATCTTTATTTATCTTATATTTAATCTATTTTATAGTTTATCCTGACTTAACGCAATTTAATCTAAGTTTGCTTAAAAAAGTTTTTTTTTTCGAAATAATTATTAAAGTTTTTTGAAAATCAAACATTCCATGATTTTATAATAGCTACGAAACAAACAAAACAAAAAAACATCAGAAAACGGCCATTTTCAAAACATCTGTCAAAAATTTTGTTTTCTCTATATTTCAAATTGTCAATTAGAAAAATCGTATTTAAACGTGTATGTAATGTAATTAGAATTTATTGCAGTTGTAATATAAATTAGACGCCTAATTTGAATAAAACATTACCGTTATTGAAACTGTAGAAGTAAACTTGAAGTTGCTGCTATCACTTTACACGATCGCCGCATCCAACTGCCGCACTTGACTCTTTCGTCGCGCATTTTTTTTTCGTCTTGTTCTAAAACAATTCCCGACGCCCAAGACGTCCGCACTAATTAATGATAATGAGCAACAAATGGAAACAAATGACGTCAACTTCCGGTCGAGACATTCGCGACATTTCGTAGAAGTTAATACAGTTTGTATCTAAGCAACATCCGAAAAAGGACCGTATTCATGCCCATCACCCACCGCTGACACATATCGCATACAGCCGACTCGATTACATTTTGAATCGAACGATGATCGCATAGGCAGCCACGCAATCGTTAATTACGCACTCTCTTTTGTTTTTGTTTTATAAACAAATGAAGGAACAAAACAATTGTTTTATTTATTTCAAATGTAATCATTTGCTTTGTTATTAACTTTAAATATTAATTGCATTGATTATATAACAATTAACGTAATTGTTGATTATCATAATTTGAAATTTAGAAATTTAGTGTTGCATTTGTACTTTAATATAGTTATTTTATCGCATACAGCCGACTCGATTAAATTTGAATCGAACGATGATCGCATAGGCAGCCACGCAATCGTTAATTACGCACTCTCTTTTGTTTTTGTTTTATAAACAAATGAAGGAACAAAACAAAACATCAAACAATTGTTTTATATATTTCAAATGTAATCATTTGCTTTGTTATTAACTTTAAATATTAGTTGCATTGATTATTTAACAATTAACGTAATTGTTGATTGTCATAATTTGAAATTTTGAAAAATCAAGTTTAATTCATAATTTTGCTCGTGTATTGTTGCATTTATACTTTAATATAATTGTTTTATTTTATTAGATTAAAGACGCAGTAAATTTTAATTAATTAGATACCAATGGTGCGTACTAATTAAGTTCGTTAATGTCGAGTAATTTTAATTAAGTAAATTTGGTTGCCTAACCTCTCTGACTTGTAGCATTCATTTATAAAATAACCAAACTACTTGATTCTAATAAGAATTTCGTATTTGGAAAATATGTGGATTTTTCTTTTTTTAAATTAACATTTATCAGTTAATTGTATTATCAATTAGAAAATTATAATAAACATATATTTCTATATTAAATCATACTTTGTACAAAAAAGTGAAATTTCTTTATGTTTAGAAAAAAAATAATTATAATTAATATAACCTAACCTAATTAAATCTAACCTTCATTAACACAATTAAAAATTGAAATTAGTTAATAAATGTTCTTTTTCAATTTTCTTAAATGAATTGTAGTCTTGTAGTGATTCTTCTTCTTTATTGTTGCACGTTTTCGTTTTCATTAATCCATTTAGTCTGTGTTTGTAGTATGCATTTGGGAATGGTAGGTTGTGAATTTGGTTGCCTATGGATTTACACAGAGCAGGAGTGGCCAATTTGTTTCTCATCGACTTAATTAGATTTAGATTCAGAAATTTGTTGTTTTAATTAATTAATTTATTATTATTTTTTTTTGGATTCTCTTACTCACTAATATTACATCATTTTGCTTAATTACTAATTAATATCACATATGAGTTCACTCCCTCGTCTATCGAAAAAACGAGTGACTTGATTCCAGGAAGTGCGTCGTAAATACATACAATATATATATATAAAAAAAACATCTAACTAACGGAAACAATAATTACATAAAAACTTTGTTTTCCTCGCATTGACAAAAGAAATGCGATGAAATAAATAGTGTTTTTTTTTGTTTTTGTTTGTTTTTTTGAAAGAATAAGAATAATAATAGAGTTCAACAATGGACGACCTTGACCGTGTATATTTGATCGGGTTGAAAGGCGCGATTCTCGAGGCCGTTTCTCGCGTTCGTCTCATCGTCGTCGTCGCAGCGTTTCTTCGGCTTGAATGTGGTTTTAGCCGTTTGGTGTAATTCGTGTTCAAAGTTTAAAAAATGGCTGAAGCGAAAAAGCAGTGTTTTTACATTTCATTGATTTTCTCGAAAACTATAATACATAGAATGAATCCAAAAGATGCATATGAAAGCTGAATGTTTGGGGAATCTAGCAAGTATTGATATATTCACTGTGGTTTTAGCCGTTTAGGCTGTAATTCGTGTTCAAATTTAAAAAATGCTCGAAAAAGCAGTGTTTTTACATTTCATTCGAAAATTCGATTACTTTAATCATTGTTGATTTTCAGGAATGTCGACGGCCTGTTACACCTACGTCTCTGAAATCTCGTCGCCTAATCAGCGCGGCTTCTTCCAAGCGCTGGGTCCAGTTTCCGCGTCCTTCGGCATCCTCCTCACCTACTCCTGCGGATTCTTCATCAGCTGGGATAAGTTGGCTCTCGTTTCCGTGATTTTCGCCATTTTCACCGTCGTCAGCGTGCATTTCCTGCCGGAAAGTCCTTGCCACCTGTTCAAGAAGGGCTCCAAGAAGGAGGCGTTCGAAAGTCTGGTGTGGTTCAGACGGAGCAACGCCGCCGCCCAAGCGGAATACCAGCAACATTCGGCGCCGAAGAAGATCGACGAAGACGAGACGTTGAGCAGCCTCTTCTGCAGCCCGAGCACCCTCAAACCCTTCGCCATCCTCGTCGCACTCTTCCTGCTGCAAGAACTCTCCGGCATCTACTCCATCCTCTTCTACGCGGTGAACTTCTTCCAGGAAGCCGACGTCCAAGTGGACGAATACCTTTCATCGATCATCGTCGGTGTAATTCGTTTCCTGATGTCGATAGTCGGAGCGTTCATGATCAGCAGATACACAGGAGGCGGCTGTGCATCTTCTCGAGCGCCGGCATGGGCGTCAGCCTGATCATCACCATAGCCTACGTGAAATACTACGAGTTCAACGCGAACGAGACGAAGATCTTCCCGCTGTTACCGCTCGTCGCCATCCTCTTCAACGTGCTCTTCTCCATGATCGGAATGCTTCCGTTACCGTGGATACTCGTCGGGGAACTCTTCCCGCTTCGAGTTCGCTCGATCATGTCCGGCTTCGTCATCTGCATCGCCCAGTGCTTCATCTTCATCTGCGTGAAGATCTACCCGGACATGATCACTTATCTCACCTTCAGCGGAACTTTAACAGTCTTCGCGGTGGCGGCTTTCGTCGCGACCGCCTTCACCAAACTCTTCCTGCCCGAAACGAAGAACCGTAGTCTCGAAGAGATCGAGGAATTC